TCCCACATATAGATTTCTCAGGAGATAGATAAGGTGGTCAGGCACTCCCATTTCTTTAAGAACTTGCCATAGTTTGCTGTGATCCCCACAGTCAAAGGCTTTTGCATAGTCAATGAAGCAGAAGTAGATGTTTTTCTGGAACTCTCTGGCTTTCTTCATAATCCAGCACATGTCTAGTTCCTCTGCCCCTTTGAAATCCAGCTTGTACTTCTGGGAGTTGTCGGTCCACATACTGCTGACGCCTACCTTGTACCTAGCAAGTTCCAAATGAATACAGAATATATGTGAAAAAGAGCATAATCATGTGTGTGTGTGTGTGTGTGTGTGTGCTGTTGTTTCCAGAAATAGCTCAAGATTTGAGTTTATTCAGGCTTAATGGTACAGTTCCCAAATGTGAGTCACTCTAGGTGGCACTGTTGGGCTACTTCACAAAATAGATTCTTTACAGGTGTTCAGCGTAATCTGTACTTTGTCAACACCAAACTCTTAAGGTTCAGCTTGGTCCTGGGAAAACAATCTGCTTCTGGTGGGTTTGCACTTTCCTTGAAGACACAGGTTTGCTGCTTGGGAATGCTCTTTTTAAAAAATACATTTTATTGGTTTTTCAATCTATCTACATTTGGTTAATGCTTATCAAACATCATGTTACATGGGTTGCTTACAATTATTTGTGTTTTGCGTCTTGGTGTCTTCCTAATTGTCCCCCCAAATTCCACACATCTTCCGATCATTCAAACCATTCATGTATGTATTTTAGTATACAGTATTGCCTATTATCATAATATTACTCTCATAGTATACAATGTTTTCAAAATCCTCTAACATACTTAATAAAAGTCATTCCAGTTCCAGATCTATACAATTTGAGGTAATTTAATTGACAAACTGTAACTTATACCAATGATAACCGAGTAAGTTCTTAACACGTAATATATATTATCTAGAGCATCTTATACAGATTTTCTTTGTATAGTTGTTTAACAATTTCTATCTCCACATTTTGTATCCTATCTATAACAATATCATATCTAAAGCGTGTTCATTATGTACTATTTTTAACCCCAACCTTATATCTAGCTTCAATTTACCTTAGAAAATAATACCATATTATGCCTTTACCCTGGTAAGTGCTCCCTTATTTTAGCTTCTCTTTTTTAATATATAAGATATGCCCCTTTGCAATTCCAGAAGTTAGGTATGTACATGCTTTCTAACATTGAGGGCCACCTTCCTTTTTTCCCCTTTTTCATCTTTCTATGTAATTCCTTTTCTTTATCTTTTTTCAGTTTTTGTTTCTGTCTTTCTAAACATTCTGCCACCTTGTGTGTCCTCTAAGGCCATTTTATGCATTGGATTTACTGCTTGGGAATACTCTTGAATGTTGAAATGGTGATTATGCAGCCCTGAGGCTTCTGAACTAGATGTTCCAATATGTAGAAAAGGTGAATCTGGTTCACACATACCCGTTACATGAAGATGAGATGATTGTTCAGGGGACTGTCACATTCCTAGATACACTTCAACTGCTGCAAGTTTTTTTTGATTGGAAGTTCTTGAGAGTTAACTCCTTCACTGTATTACCTTATTTGCTTTGAATTTCAACTTTAGGCCCAACTTTCAGCATTGAAATGATTTAGGACTAAGGGTCCTTGAAGGATTGCCTTCATCCTGAGAGGTTGATAATAATCCTGGGGTTATCTGGAGTCAAAAGCTGAGGCTTGCCTGACTGATGGAAGTAAGAGTTCTCTGCTACTGTGCTCTGGTTTTAAGACACTTCTATGAGCAACTAGATAGGTATCTGTCCTGCTGTTTGTGCCATGTCTCTCACTGTTCCTTTGATATTTATCTGTGAACTACACATTAGGACTAACTGCAAGTAGATCTAACCTTTTCACATGAGTATGCAGTACTGCCTGTCTTTTTGCTGAATTTCCAGTCACATTGTATTAGTGTCTTGCTTTTGACTTATGTGATTGCTTACATTAGACCTCTAAGACCATTTTTGGGCATGTCCAGATGACATTGCTGGTCATACACAGAATGGGGTGCAGTGTGGGAGTGAAACATACTATATATATCTGGGCCAAGTTCAAGGTGTTAGTGTTGATATTTAAAGCATTGAATGGTTTAGGACCTCACTACCTGGCAGAGCACCATTCCCTCAGATTTACCACCCATTCCATCCTCATTTTCCAATACTTGATGCTGTGGGTGGCCACCCTATGGGAAACCTGGAAGTCTACAACTAGGAACTAACTGGGGCCTGCTCAGTGATGGCCACCTCATTATAGAACTCATTACCAGTGGAGGTGCATCAGGCCCCCACCCTCCTAGTATTCAGAAGGCAAATACATTCCTCTTTGGTTGGTCTTTGAAAATCTTCTACAGTATTTGTTTGATTTAAGTTTCCTTTTATTTCTTGATGTTATTGTTGTCAGCATGTTGGGATTTGAGTTTTCATGCCTGTGATGCAGTTATATTATAGCTGTGGGATCTTTTTTTCTTTCTTTTCTAAGTTTTTTATGTACAAACTTTGTTGTGAGCCACCCAAGTAGTGGCTTGCCGCTCAAAGGGAACGTAGAAATTTAATTAATGAACCCTACTCCTTTCCCTGACTTCTGCTCATACAAGATTGCAGCGACCATACAAGTTGAAAATTTTATTTTTACACTGATACATCACTAAATGCAAACTTCTCCAAATGTCATGGTGTATTGCAGAGAAATTTGCATAAACCCAAGACTAACTTGCACGTAGTCATGCCCTCCTTCAGGGAGAAAACAGTAGATCCTTCTGATAAAATTTTTCAGTTTAGTACGAAATACCAATTTGCCATTCTTTCTAGTAGGATTTGGACTTGCTGGAAGCATGAGCTATTACTGCTGACCCAATTTCCTTCCCTCTGTAAACTAATGTGCAAGATTGGTATGTATCTGGTTGTTTTTTGAATTGTTAAAATATTATTTTACAGTATTGTTTTTAATGTTGTTGTGACGTCTTACACAATTTTGAGCTGGGAAAACAAGGTCACAGAAAAATATAGAAAATGTATGTGTGCATAAGGATATGACTGAGCCACACATTCCCCCAAAGCATGGCGTCTGACTATAAAGGAAGTTTTCAAATGTACAGTTCAAAACAAGACTCTAGAGCTGTGATGGAAGAATCACTAAAAGTATGCATTTTATACCAGACTTTAAGGTACAAGTATGGGATGGTACAGCATCTTAGAAAGTACTGTAGGGACATCACCTTGCCGACAAAGGTCCTGGAAGGAGAGATCCTGAAGCTGAGGCTCCAATACTTTGGCCATCTCATGAGAAGACAAGACTCCCTAGAAAAGACCCTGGTGTTGGGAAAGAGTGAAGGCAAGAGGAGAAGGGGATGACAGAGGATGAGGTGGTTGGACAGTGTCACCGAAGCCACCAACATGAATTTGACCCAACTCCAGGAGGCAGTGGAAGACAGGAGGGCCTGCCGTGCTCTGGTTCAAGAAGAGTCGGACATGACTTAATGACTAAACAACAACAACACAAGTTTTGCTACAGAAGTTCAGAGTTACTATGGAGAAGGGTTTTGTCTCTTATTAATTTTCAAATTGGCTTAATAGACCACTAATAGAATGGAACTTATTGAACAACTGGACACAGCAGTCCATTGCCTCTAAGGAGTCAACTTTACTTGGACCCATATTCTTATAAAGACTCTGAAACCTTCCCTATGTCTGTCTTCTTGGAGCCATCTTGTTAGGATACCAAAGATTCATTCATTAAAAGGCAGAGAATAAAGATATCACCTGTTCCTGCATATGTATTGTTTCAACAACCATACAACCTTTTCCTGATTTTTCCGGAACCTTATTTACATTTTTCATACTTCTAATTTATACCTGATGTTTGCCATGTGAAAACCCGTGCAGATATTTTCCCTGCTCCAGATTTAAAATAGATTGCTAGGGGGAATTAAAGACTTGCCTTTCCACCTGTATCTTCATCTCCTTATACCAGGGCTGGAGAAGGGGAGGGTACCAAGCTAGGCACCTTTGGAGTTGCAAATTTGTCCTGCTCTGTAGCTGTTAAGACATAGAACAGGTCTGTATGTGGATGAGAAAGTAAGTCAGGCAGTGATTTTGTCTTCTGCTAGCCTTGCCAAAGGGGGAGCAATAATATCATTATTTTCATAGGAATGTATATATTAAAATCACATGTAAAATTGTGGGAAAGTGTGAAGGCAAGAGAAGGGGACAGAGGACAAGATGGTTGGACAGTGTCACCGAAGCTTACCAACATGAATTTGACCCAACTCCAGGAGGCAGTGGAAGACAGGAGGGCCTGGCGTGCTTTGGAAGTGTTGGGACATGACTAAACAATAGGATGATACACTTAACTGAACTGTCAGGTGTGAAACAAGTCTTCAGCATTCAATGCTATTGAGCTAATCGCTTCAATATCCCTATTATTTGATCACAACTACTTGAGAATATTCCCGCCAACCTAGTGGTTTGAAAGCATGCAAATGCAAGTAGATAAATAGGGACCACCTCGGTGGGAAGGTAACAACGTTCCATGTCTAAGTCTCACTGGCCATGTGACCATGAAAGATTGTCTTTGGATGAAACGTTGGCTCTATGGCTTGGAAACGGGGATGAGCAACGCCCCCTAGAGTCGAACACGACTGGACAAAAATTGTCAAGGGGAACCTTTACCTTACTTGAGAATATACAGTACTAGCATTTATGAAGACATTTAAGAGTGGAAGCTCCTATTCTTACTAGCTATCCCAATAACATATCAACAAGTGTTTGTTCACTTCCTTGACCCAGCACTAATTCCAGCTGGGGGTACTATACCCTTCTCTTACTAGTTCTACAAATATTTTGTTCACAGGTAAAGTTGAACTAAAGATGGGAACCAACCTCCTGCAGGGTGCCAATAGTGCTGATTTTCTAAAAGATTATTAAATGGGACTAAAGAAGCTTTGCCATATTGCCCAAGGCATGAATTTGAGGAGAGCTGGAGAAACCAAACAAACCACACACAAGAAACAGGAGAAAAATCTTTTTTTAATTTGATCTGCAACATGTGTGAGAACATTTCTGATCCTTTTGGGAAACTCTGCAAGATGAACAACATTCAGCTTATTAGGAACCGACGGTGACTGATGATGCAGGATTCTTCATCTTCACAGCAAAATATATTTCCATCCAACAATCACACCAGAAGCAAAATTCGGGCTCCTGAAAATCTTATTTTCCTTTTACCATGAGAGAGCAAGTCCGGAAAGCTGATGGAAACATGCTGAGACAGTACACAGAAGAATGCTGTTGTGTAAAAGGTCTTTGTTGAATTTCTCAATTTTTAAATTATATTTGCTATGCTTAAATCATCTCAGTGTTCACGATCACTCAAGGTGACAGGTATCTTTCCTAATGAAGTATTTTGAGATGCCAAAGTGTACACATGCATAGAAGTAGATGTTTATCTAATTAAAATATAACCCCTATGAGATTTGTGGGATTGATTTGTTGATCCTGTGAAATCCACAACATGCTAATTATTTATCATTAATACGGGATACACAGTACTTCATCTCACTGCCACTTAGCACTGCTTGGTCACAATGCAACAGTAATAATAAGATAGAACTGGCACCACAATTCAAACATCAACAGTTTTTATGATTAACTGACTGGGGTATGTCAATTTTCTCAGTTGCAATGCAAAATTAATCTCCTAACTCTTAAAAATCTATTAACTGTTCTATAAAGCTATATCTCTAGCCCTGATACTTCTGAATTTCCATTCCTTGTACCTCTTATTACGTATCAGGCATCACTTCCACACAGAATAGTCTTTTCTAGTACTTCAAGTGCATCATCGTGTCAAGTCTATTGCAATTTTTTTTTAAAAAAAGTCATGTGGTACCCTAAAGACAAATTAACTTTATTTATTGTAAAATTTTGTGGACCACTACCAGTGATGTGATAGAACTTGTCTGAGGTTGCAAAATACATTTTATTATGTTACACCCAATGTCATGACAGACACATCATTCACACTTCGTCTTATCTACCTGGGCTTATTTCCACAAAGACTTAATGCCTTCACATAGAAAGGCCACATCTGCTGAAGCAATCCAGACTCATGTTATACCAAGTCCCATCTAACCCACGAAGTCTAGCCACAGCCTCCTCCTGATCCCATATAAGTAGAAGCTGGAGTGGTTTCGCACAACTGTACTATTCTGTCACCTAACAAAACCTTAGGTCAGCTATGCAGAGATTATCTGTGCCAGAGTATAAATATTTTGAATGTAGACGTGTGCTATTTCCTGTTTGTCTTTTCTTCTGAAACCTTTTATCTTAACAGAGCTTTTCAAATTAAAACTAAATCACATGATTAGATGGTACAAGGGGCTTCTCTCCATCTGCCATATTGCTTATCCATAGTGCACAGTTAAGCAGTAAACAGATGGAATATGTTTCCAATGGTAACTTGCATGGCCAGCAAAATCTGCCTTGAAGGGCATTTGGTATCTTTTTTCATATCAACTTACAGAGCAAAACACTAAATTTGACAAATGCTAAGAGAAAAAAAAATCAAAATTATATGCAAGTTAACTACTCAGAACTGCCTCATTAAACCCTGCAACATAATAGCATTCACCTCGTTCTCAATAAAGCTTAGGAGTCTGAAGAAGTCTTCTCAGTGGATAAAGCAGCAAGATCAAGTCCAAAGTATGCAGGACTGAAATTGATGTGGAGCAGAATTTAGTTATTATCTATTCTCTTCGATTAACTGGCAAAGCTATAACATTGGTATCTAAATTTTATCTATTAAATTTAAATATTCTCCTCAAATCATTTTGTGTCTGTATAAAGAGAAAACTGGAGACAACCATCTCTGCAGTAAGAGCTCATTCTCTGGGACAGGATTTTCTCAACAGTAACTCAGTCCTCAACTGCAGTGAGAACTTTTTTTTCCATCTTGACATTTTCTACCTACAAGCTTAAAACTGTATGTTGTGAAAATTAGTTTGGAAAGCTGGTATAGAAAATGTGTATCATTTGTGCATCAAGTGTATGCTCTTTATTGCTTATACTTCCCATTCTCTCTATTCCAAATATCAGATTAAGAGACATTTTGGAACAGGTCTTGCTGATTATATTTTCCCCATATAAACATATACAATTTGAGAAAAACCCACTAACTGTTTTAAGCACTCTCTATGGCAGTGGTCCCCAACCTTGGGCCTCCAGATGTTCTTGGGCTACAACTCCCAGAAGCCTTCAGCACCTTTGCTGGCCAGGATTTCTGGGAGTTGAAGTCCAAGAACATCTGGAGGCCCAAGGCTGGGGACCACTGCTCTATGGGATGGGGAGAAATTAAGAAATCGAAGTCTTTGGATGACAATGCTGAATCTTTGACAAGGATCAATCACCTACTCAATATAATTTTGATTTCAATGAAGACCTACCTGCAACTCAACATGTAAAGGAAACCCATTAATCCCTGCACCAAACAAGGAATAGCACAATGTCTCGATTACCATAGCTGACAACAGATCGTGCAATGAAACAATCATTTGTCAGCATTTGCTACACAAGCATTTCACAGCAAAGCTTGGCCGTGCATTGTATCTTTACTTCATAGGTTTTAACATTTTACTATGTTAAAAAAACTCTGCTGCAATGGCCAAATTTCATCAGAGGTAAAAGAACCTAGAAACTGAGTAGATGCAGAACACAAAAGGACAACTGCTTTGCTTCTATGAGTCACCAACAGGTTCTCGTATACAAACTGATCCTGCAAGTAATTTGAAGGACAAACCCCATTATCGACAGCTAGCATGGCCACATGAGTGTGACATAAGGGCATATTATAGCCTTATAAAGGAATGAAACATTTGAAAATGAACTGAATTTTTGCAGCCTCCAGTAGTTTGGTCTGTTATGTCTGCAGTTTAAAGCTAACTATATGACAAAGGCAGAAGATCTGAATGGGTTAACTTATCTTAATATCTTCGTGAAAGATTTCTGTTTCCAGGTGCGATCATACATGTGTAAGAATTTGGAAGTACATATAAAGTGTTATTAGTTGTGTGTGTGGTTTTTTTATTTCCATAAGACTGTTCTGTTCACCACCACCTCCCAAACAAGACTATATTATGGCAAATATTTCTCTGGTATAAACCAAGCTATATTGAACACTGTATCTACACAGCTTACATTCAAATCATTAATGAAGTATTTTTCCCAGTTCAAATTCCTGTTTAAGACAGAGCCCCATTCTACAACCATCTAAATTCCTTTCAAAGCTAAAGGAACAAATTAAATCAGATATTTTCGAGCAGCATGAATTTAATCTAAAAGAAAAACACTAATTCTTTTCTGAGATACATTTTGGCATTCTAATCACATGCCATAATTGGCTTGTTATGGATAAACACTACATGCAATGTTTGTTTAACAGAAGGCTTTTTAAAGCTTTGTGGATATGACAAAGCTAAAGTGATGTTTAATTTTGAGCTCTTGAAAAGGAATTTCATTTTTGGTGTACAAATTTTGATTACTTCATTACTCAAAAGCAAGGCTCATCTGATTACAGTATACGAAGTTGAACATTACTGCAGCTTGTTTGGCTGTGTTGCAGCTATTACTTTATACAATGGACAATGCTGAAGGCAGTTACCTCCAGATCAGGCACATTCTAAAAAGACCTTCCAGTGCCCTATTAACTATGCATGAATCTTCTGTGTACAAGTTATCCACATATAAAAACTGTGAAATTTGATAATGGCTTCAACCTGTTCACAGTAAGAGATTTGAATTGTACACAAACCCACCTTATGTTTTGCACTGAAATGTCAAAATACAGAAGTTACGTGCTTAGAATGATTTGTAACCAAAACTTTAATCCAAAGATCTTCAAGAGTTTACAGTGACATTGACAACGTATGCACAAAAAGATTTGCATTTACAGTGTACCCTTATATAGTCATCCTTCTCTTATTTTGGTCTGCACACTTTAGCAGTTACTAATGTGCCACATGAGAAGTGAAAAAACTAATCTACACTGTACAGTCAGAAGTTTTGACTGAGCTGCTATAAATCAGAACTTTAGAATAGTTCAGTAAAAAGTCCAGCCACAAGGCTTTCATAGTGACTTCAGTTGCTATTCGTTTTTAACTGTCCACTATTTTGACAAACTAATCAAACCTCCAGGTCTCACTCTGCCCATCTATGACAACAGCAAATGTTCATGATTAGCAGTCCACATGTTGTTTCAAGTTTAGATCCTGCAAAAATTCCAGAACACAATCCAAATGAGTAAGAACATTTGCCAATGATTGGCTTCTGAGGTTTTATTTGGTTAAGTCTATGCAAGGTCACTAGCTAACATCAATGTAAATCAAAGTTATGCTTAAGGGTACACTGTAAAACCACAAATTTATTACACTTCATATGACCAGCTCAGAACCATATACAGATTCACAACTGTTACATTGTCACGTTACAAGAGACAAGAAAAACAAAATCTGACAGCTAAAACATTTTAAAAATGCACCAAGCTTATGGAGTCTCAAAGAAAACAATGTTCTGTACATACTCCTTTCTTCAGATCTGGTGTGACTTCCTGTACATTGCTCCTCCTGAAGTCCTACTTCCTGTCATTTGACCTGGAGCGGCTATAGAGAAGGTATATTAAATATTCTCACTTAAACACTGGAATTTATATTCCTAAGTATACTCCACTTACTTATTTACTTATTCTCCAAAGCCTATCATATAGTTTTATACCCAAGAAATTTTAACCTATACTAGAAATTTCTACTTAATATCATTCAGAGAAAAAAAATCCTTCATTAGTGACATTTAAATTTCTTAAGTTACTGGAGTCTGGTGAATTGTTTTGCAGTTATTTTAATGGTTAAACAGATACTATTGCTCTTACCTACGAGATCTGGAAAAGGAACGGGAAGGTTTATGATTTCTCTCCCTTGACAGTGATCTCTCTCTCCTTCTGTCTCTAGAAAGGGACCTGTAATACAAACATTCAGAATTATAATGGAACACAACAGTAAGATTTAGAGGATGAAAAGCTTTATTTGAAAACAAGATTCATTTTCAGAAAAACTCTGGCCTCTCTCATTCTCAACCTTTGAGCAATAATTTATGTTACCTGGTACAAATTAATGAAATCAATTACTAGTTAAACAAATTTAGGATAATATACAAATACAAAAATTTTGGTTTCTATCAGACTTATACAAAGTTTCAATGCACTAATACTATAAGTTATGCTTAAACATCCACACTTTAGATGCAGAACTCAATTCAATATTACCAAGTGCTCAATTTAAAATTTCATTATCTTCATTTATTACAAGCACTTTTGCCAGAAAAACCTAGAAATATTTGAGTGAATTTAGATTACATTTATAATTTTTAAAAAGTAACTACTTCGCACCTGTGCTGTTTTTCTTCTACTGCACAATGTTTTCAGTTTAAAGAAACTGAGAAAACATTTCTCCTACAAGTCACAACACAACTTAAATCAAGTCCCAACAGTTACCTGCTGCGGCTACGGGAGAAGCTTCTCCTTCGTGGAGATCTACAATTAAAAATAGAAAAGTAAGCCTTTTTATCAATTCAACACTATTGGAATGAGGCCAATTCCCAACTTGTCAAGTCACTGTTGGGCCCAGTGAAAAGCTCCAAAATAAATGGCACCCATCGTCCAGCAAAATGGAAAGATTCAAGCATTAAAAAAACCTCAGTGTGATCAGCACATTTTCCAACCATGAGTTTGCTTTAACTAATACCACGTCATAGCAAACCTTTCCAATGCAGCACTTCCATCTCAACTAAATCCACTGCCTCGAACACTGTCTCAAAATCCCACAAGTAGTTCCAAAATTAGTATAAACCAGTATTTTGGAACCCATGCAAGATCAAGTCCTTAGAAGGACACAAAGTTCCAAGTGAAAGACTAATGCACACAGTGACAATGCCGTTAAAATTACATTATCTGTGAATGTAAAACTGTCATAGTGTGTTTAGTCTTAAGAATCTTAGCTTTCACAGTTTATCCCATAAATTGTTTTAAGTTCTGAAACTGTTAGTAAAACAATTTAAAGGTGAAAGGAGTTGGCAGATTTTTGCAAGGAAGAACTAAGTTAGCAATTAAGTGTAGTTGCCATCTCACATGCAAATATACTGCAGTTTAGTTACTTACATTAAGTTTCCTATCACCCTTAAAAGTTTTATTCAAGCAACATATGTATGTTACCACGAAATTACGCACAGCCAGCCTTTGATTGAGAAAAAGTAATTACTTTATAAGCCGCTTACTCCTTATTTTAACCAGCAGTAAACTGTATAAGCAGGAAAAACTTACTAGTTTTTGGTTTCAACAAGCTAGAAATGGTGAGGTGAGGCTGCCGGACTGACTGCCAAGAAGAATTTGCTGAAAAGGTTTTGCCAGATGTTGCGTTGTATTTAGTTGGTTGGCGAAGGGGGTGTTGTGGATTTTTCCTGCTTTTTTGTTAGCCGAAGGCTGCTGCTGTAGTTGTTGTGAAGACATTTGGTAAATAAACAGCTGAGCTGATTGGCCGGGAATGTGTGGGCGGTCGAGGTAGCTGCCGATTTGGTTAAGGTTGGAGAGAAGGCTGAGAGAAAACAGCATGCTCGGGAACCAAAGGGCGGTGCAACCTGACGACTGGCCATGCCTGGGTCATGTGAAACGACACCAGCCAAGCTGAATGGGGCGCGCTGGTCACATGACGCTGAAAGGGCTAGTTGACTGGCTAATGCAGACTCAGAGGGTGGTGAGAAGAGACATGATGGTGACTCTGTAACGGGTTCATTTTTATTAATAGATGGACCAAAAAAGCATAAAAAATGAAAAACAAGCCATCAGTACAACCATCTATTAGCTAACAAATACTCCTATTGTGTTCTACAGTGAAAGGGAACAGGTCTTTCTATCTCGTATAGACTTCACCTGATACAGGTTAAGATCAGTACTTGCAGAAATTAGGGTTTAAGTAATTAAGTGATTTATTTAACACAACCAATTCATCAGGGTCACTGAATGCAACTAAAACTCTGCAATATTCTGAAATTTAGGATTGCAGAACTAAAGTAAGATTGTCATATTTTAACAGTTCCACTACCGTCAAACTTAGCTAAGCAACTGCTCATTGCTTTAGCGTTCGTATAACAGTTGCCTGCCTGACAGGACTTCTGCTGAAATGAAAAAACCCTGAGTGAATAAAAAGCCAAACTGTTGTATGTATGTAACTATTCTCAACAATGAAGAAAAATTTAAAAAGAAAAAAGTTGGCGCACTGGGAAGAAAAAGGGAGTGACTAGATGATGAACAGGCTTCAGAAGGAAAGATGATAATCCATGTTAGAGGGCACTATCAACTGGTACAGTCACCTAAGGACAAAAGTGTGTGTTCAATGGCATGTACCCCCTAACGTACACTTAAATGATTTAGTCTCTGGTGATCCACCTTAACACACATCAATGTGTTTTTTTAAAAACCCTATTAAGCCAGAACAGTGATACTGCCAAGTTCTCTATATAAGTTTTACAATCCTAAATACCTGCGACGAGGTGGAGGACTTCTCCTACGATAGTCATCTCGAGGACGTCTACTCCACGAAGGAGGTGGACCACGGTTTCGACTGCGTTTTTCACCATTGGATAGTTCCACTCTGACACGACACCCACAAAGTGTTCTAAAAAAAGTCAACAATTGAAACATTAATGATAATAATTGAACTAAACTGAACCATGAATAATTTTAAAGCTTACAATAAACCTCTTTTAAATATCCATAAATATGACTGAAATGTGCAAGTCATCAAATCACTGTGTTCCTACAATACGTGTCTTTCAAAATTAAACATTTTGAGTGCTAAATTTAAAAGATCAGCTCTAAGTAACATTTTTCAAAGCTTAGAAACATCCTGAAAGTTCAAGTACCATATACAGGTCTAAAATGTTTGCAAAGTCTCCCTACACAAGCAATCTGAAGCATTTCACATAAAACACATTCTAAATCACCCCACCTTAGAAGAGGAAATGCATGGTTATATTCACAGAACCAAGTGCCCAACTATAGGCTGCTCAAGTGCAATTAAACATAAAATAACTTACCTTCCATCTAGCTCTCTCACTGCATCAGCAGCATCACGTGGATCTTCAAATTCAACAAAAGCAAACCCAGGGGGATTTCTAGCAACCCACACGCTACGCAGTGGTCCATAGTAGCCAAAAGCCCGTTCCAATTCAGTTTTGTTGCCATTGTTCCCAAGGTTACCTACATAAACCTTGCAATCCAGTGGACACGAATCACGATGCATCTCTGCAAGACATTCAAAAGAAATAAATTGTCCACTGCTGTTCAGAGAAAATAAGGCAGGCTGGTGCTTAACACCCAGTAGGGCAATCCTTTCTTCAGAATTTACAAATACATCAAATATAAATGTAGAATGCGTTTGCAGTCTTTTCACGTTTATCTACAAATATAAGCGACTGGGTCTAGAGTGTTATTTGTTTAGAGCTAGAATAAGACAGCTAAAAATTAAAATGTCTCGATAGAGGAAATGAACAATATCCTCGTCAGCTTTAAGAATGAGGAATAACCGGTGGTCTTCCTTAGATTCCTCAATAAAGACTTCATATCATGAGCTCTGTCGTGGGACAAGGACAAGGCCTAGGGCTCATTCACCAAGAAACGGAATTCTCGCAATTACCGCCCAGCTTCTACTGCGTGTCCCGCCCAAACAGGAGGCCTACGATCCCACGGCTTTAACCCACCCACCCCGCTTTAATTTGGTGATACAAGAAAGCAATACACCCCAGTGTACGACAAAAAACACGCTAAAGCCTTTTCTCTCATCCACGGGGCCATCACCCCAAAAGACATGACGTTACTACGCTCATACAAAATGGCGGCAGCTCTTTGTCCGCCGTCTCAACCGCGAGGCCTTCGGTCCCAACCCAGCCCCTCTCTCACCGGCTTCCGAGCCAGGAGCGCGAAGGGCTTTTGCGAACTAAGGCTACTCTTTCTCCTTCGCTGCTTCCTTTTTCTTTGTCCCTCAGACACCTCAGCTCGATGGGCTTCTCCGCCTTTCCCGCCAAGACACCGCTTCGCACAACCTCTCACTGCCTCGCACTGGACAAAATGGCGGACGGCGCATTCGCGCTCTGAGCTTATATAGGTCCTGCCCATCTAAGCACGTGATCGGAATATTCACCAATTACAAATCGCTTTTCTGGTGATGGACGTTGGTCTGCCCCCTCAAACTTTTTTTAAAGAAGGTCCGCTGCTTCAAAAAGCGGCTCCTCCTTTATTCGCAAGTCTCTACTCTTATCCGCCCGCAGGCCTGGTTGCGCTCACCATGGCAACCGGGGAATGGGCCAAGGTTCGGCCGGACCAGCGGCACCTCATGGAGATACAGGAGAAGAGCCGTTTTATGGCGGAAGGGTCTTGCTTTCAGCATCTTTTTGGATGCGTGAAAGCTGGAGAGGATTTGTTCAACTTTATTCGCTTTTTGACCATTTAATTTTTAAACAACAGCCAATACTGGAAGTGTGTAAATGACTGTTTTTTATAAAAGATACGACCTTTTTAACCACAACTTTAAGCAAGGTTTTCTCTCCTTTTCCATGTAACTAAACCAGAAATTGAAGTATGAGCAAGAAAAATAAAATAATGTTTTAAAGAGATGCAACTTAATTTAATGCAAAAGCAGTCTTAAGCAGGAGCAGCTTTCCATCCCTCTGAAGTTTAATTACTGTTGGTTATGGATCAAAATGCAAGCATAAGCCAAGATGTTCAGCACCCAATTAAAAGCATTGCATACATGAACAGGGGTACTCTTTGGATAGTTTTAAATGAGATATGGTAAACAAGGCCCTCCTGATATTTTTAGAATACAACTCCCATTATCCCTCATCATTCTTAATGCTGGCTAGACTAGATAGAAGTTGCAGTCAGACAACACCTGGAGGATTGCACATTCTCTACATCCACATTTAAACATTTCTAGTCAATAGAAATGCATTGGAAGGGGGAGGGAGATGAAAGCACAGAGTTAAGGATAAATGAAGCCTTATAAGGCCTTACAATAAGAGGGATGGACCAAACTGATCAAAAGACCAACAAGAATAACATTAACAATACTAATCATAACAATAATCATAATATTCATAAAAATGTACAAAGACAAACAGGCTACAAATCATACAACCTCTGGCATGTGTATATTAATGCTAGGAGTATGGGAAACAAATAAGAAAAACTGGAAATTTCAATTCAGGAGGGTAAGTATGACTTATCAAGAATAACTGAAACTTGGTGGAATGCAGCAATTGAGGGATATAAACTGATCAAAAAGAATAGAGAAAATAAAAAGGGAGGTGGAGTTGCAGTATATGTCAAAAATACATATTCCTGCACAGAAATACTGTACAGGAGGAGGAGATTGACTGTTCCATCGAGAGCATTTGGATCAATCTAGTTGGGGCAAAAAACAAAAGGAACTTGGTAGTTGGAGTCTACTACCGACTGCCCAATCAAAGAGAGGAAGCGGACAAAACTTTTGAAAAATAAATTGCAGGGATTTCAAAGAGATACAACATAGTAGTGATGGGAGATTTCAATTATCCAGATACTGTACATGTTGGGAGGCAAATTCTGCCAAATTTGGCCCTTCCAAGAAATCCCTGGATTGTGTGGCTGATAATTTTTTTCTACAAAAAGTGGAAAACGAAACCAGAGGATCTGCTATCCTTGAACTGATACCTGAAGAATGTTTTTATTGTTTTCAGTGTTTCTAGCTAAACTCAGCTGATTCTCAGCTTTTGCCCTCCTTATGCCATCCGTGCATTTTCTTGCAACTTCTCTGTACTCATCCTTGGTGGCCTGGCCTTCTTTCCACTTTCCATCTTTGACCAACAAAGATGACTTGGTGGGGGAAGTGGCAGGGGAACTCTAGGCGAGAGTGTCCATGTCCTTCTAGAATTCTTGATTTCAAAGGAAACAAAAGCAGAGTGCAGCTGCACACTTCTGCTAGATTTTTAAAAAGCCAATTTTAATAATCTCAGAACAAGGATAAGTAAGATCCCATGGCAGGAGATCCGAACAAGAAAAGGAGTCTAGGAAGGGTGGGAACTTCTAAAAAAAAGAAATTCTAAAGGCACAACTACAAACAACTCCAACAAGAAAAAAAGGGGGGAGGTGGCAAAAAAAAAAAGGCCAGTGTAGCTTCACAAAAAGCTCAGGGAGGACCTAAGAAGCAAAAAAGACAAGCAGGAAATGGAAAGAAGGCCAGGCCACCAGGGAGAAGAAGAGCNAAATAAATAAATAAATAAATAAATAAAAACCAAAAAAGACATGTACAGGAAGTGGAAAGAAGGCCAGGCCACCAAGGATGAGTACAGTAGCAAGGAAATTCATGGATGGCATAAGGAGGGCAAAAGCTGAGAATGAGCTGAGTTTAGCTAGAGACACTGAAAGCAATAAAAAAAACATTATTCAGGTATGTGAATAGCAAAAGACATAGTGGCATAGCTCTGCAATGTAGATGGAAAAATTATAACAGAGGACAAAGAAAAGGCAGAGGTACTCAATTTCTATTTTATTTTAGTTTTTTCCCATAAAACAGACTAACAAATTGGAAGAGCAAGGGGGGGGATAGGATTGCAGCTGGAGGCCGCAATATCCAGGGCTGGATGAACAACATTCAAGAGTACTGAATGAACTGGCTGAAGAACTCTCAGAACCACTATCCATTATTTTCTTGCAATCATGGGAAATGGAGGAGGTGCCAGAGGATTGGAGGAGAGCTAATGTCCCTATCTTCGAAAAGGGCAAAAAGAGGAACCTGAGAACTACAGGCCAGTCAGCCTGACATCAATCCCAGACAGAATTCTGTGGAACTTATCATAAAGTGATTGTCAAGAACAAATCGTGCCAAATTGATTTGATCTTGTTTTTTGCTCAGATAATCTCCCTGATAGACATAGGGAATGCTGTAGATGTAGTACATCTTCACTTCAGCAAAGCTTTTGACAAAGTGCCCCATTATATCCTGAATAGCAAGCTAATGAGGTGTGGGCTGGATAGATCAAGCATCAGGTGGATGCACAATTGGCCACAGAATTGTACGTACTTGGAGGGTGATGATTAATGGGTCCTTCTCTAACTGGGAGTAGATAAGTGGGGCCCTGGGCCCTGTGCTCTTCACTATTTTTATTAATTACTTGGATGAGGGAGTGCAGGGAATGCTTGTCAAATCTGCAGATGATACAAAATTGGATGGAATATCTAATACCCTAAGACAGAAGCAAAATTCAAAATGACCTTGATACGATGGAGCACTGGGCTATAAGCAACGGAATGAAATTCAACAGAGATAAGTGCAAAGTATGCACCTCAGAAAAAGAAACTAATTGCTTAGTTACAAGATGGGCGATACCTGGCTCAGCAAAAGTACCAGCGAGAAGGATCTTGGAATTGTCATAGATCACAAGCTAAATATGAGCCAACAGTGTGATGTGGCTACAAAAAAGGCAAATGCTACTGTAGGCTGCATTAATAGAAGTACAGTTTCCAAATCCCACAAGGTGCTAGTCCCCCTCTATTCAGCACTGGTTAGGTCTCACCTTGAGTATTGTGTCCAGTTCTGGACACGACACTTCAAGAAGGATGCTAACAAATTGGAACAAGTTCAGAGGAGGAGGAGGAGGAGGATCAGGGGGCTGGAAACCAAGCCTTATGAGAAAAGGCTGAAAGAATTGGACATGATTAGCCCTGAGAAAAGAAGACTGAGGGGTGATATGATAGCACTTTTCAAATATTTGAAAGGCTGTCATACAGAGGAGGGGCAAGATCTGTTCTCGATCATCCCAGAGTGCAGGACACGCAACAATGGGCTCAAGTTACAGGAAGACAGATTTTGGTTGAATATCAGGAAAAACTTCCTAACTGTTAGAGCAGTACAACAGTGGAATGGGTGACCTTGGGAGTTGGTGAACGCTCTAACACTGGAGGCATTCAAGAAAAACTTAGATAATCACCTGGCAGATGTGCTTTGATTGTATTTCTGCACTGAGCAGGAGGTTGGACTTGATGTCCTTGTAGGCCCCTTTCAACTTCACTTTTCTATGATTCTTTTATTTTATGAATAGGGCAATTCAACAAAGTTAGATTCTGAACTTTATGGATGGTTAAATGATCATGTGTATTTCAAAATGTGGTTTACCCACCTGGGACACATTTGGGAGTTTTCCTTTTTTTTAAAATGGTAGGTAAGACCCTGGGCCTCTGTACTAAATGCTGCTTTAAAAGTCCTACTCTTCCGAAGTATTACTTTCTCTCACACATACACAGAAACATATATAAAGCCTAGCCTGAAGAAGAGTCCTGCAGAACTCAAAAGCTCACTTGATTTTGATATTTTAGAAGTCTCATAAAACTTTTTCTTCCCCGCCCCTTGATTTCTATTATGTTAGAAATGGCATGACTTAAACCTGTCTTAAAATCATTCTATCATTCTATCAATGCCTAAATTTGTAAAAAAATTTAAACCATTTTCATTTTGTATATTATTTTTTACCTATTGTATCTGGATTTAAAGATGAGTTTGAAAATAATTTCAGGTGCAGTGAACCCTTCCTTCACTCTTCCAATTTCTTTCATAGAAAGAAACAGACACCATAAAGGTAGATTTCTTATATGGGCAGAGGACTGGAATACATATGGTTTCAAACCCTTTTCAACTTCACAATTTTATTGAAAATTATTATCCTGAAATATTTAAATTTCATATTGGAATGCTAGGCAAAGTACCTCCATTTGTTCCTAGGGAAATGATTATGATGATCATCATCTTAGAACTGCAGTGCTGGAAGAGACTCCATAGATCATCAAGTCCAGCTCCAAGGAGGCACAGTGGGGAATTTAATTCCCAACCTTTGAGTCTGCAGACAGATGCCTAAATCACTGAGCTATCCAGCATGTTTTGCAACACTTCCATTTCCCTTAGGTATGATTTCCGAAGAAAACTTTGGCTTAAAACGAACCACATATCAAGAGCCAAAATAATTTCATCTCAGTTGTGTTAAGATAATATCAGCTCCTGTGTACATCTGTTTAGTGACTCTGAAATCAAGA